TTTCTTTTTGTCAATGTACCTACATTGACTCAGTCTCCTTTTTTTTTGTTTTCGCCATCACACATTTATTTAATTGGCTCCTTAAGAAAGGTAATGGAGCCTAGCTTGTTAAAATGACCAGGACCCAGGCTTTCACTCTAACAGCTCTTGTAAGGACAGCATACTTAAGAAAAATAGCATTTGGGTTTCTGTGACTACGTAATCCTTTCCCTACAGCAAATTTATACCAAATAAACTTTCTTCACCTTTTGTGACTAAATATCAACTTCGTGGCAAAAAATAATATGTATTCCCAAGGGAATACAATGAATTATTTGACAAGAAACTCTTCTTCTTTTACGTTTTGAATCATAGCATCCCTGTGACCTTTCAGATGTATGGCTGTGACTAACTTGGCTTCTTGGCTCATAGAAAGCTTGAAGTTTTGCTCAGGAGTACAGCCCATATCTGACTGAAATATGCCAGATCAGTGTCTCTGTTGTGCCAACATTTTTGGTTTTCACCTCAGCATTGTTTGTGTGTTATTTTAAAAAGTTATATATTGGGACAACATAGAAGACTTGGCATACCTTCCTTTATTTGCCCTTTTTATATAAATTAGCATGCCCATCCCAACGGAAATTCTCTATGTACTGTATGTATGTGGGCATATGTGAAGGGAAAAGCCTGACAAATGACTGAATGAACTGACCATCCCCCCACCAAGCCTTCCCACTCCAGGAGGGAAATACATCTATTTCAGAGCACAGCCTACTTTCTGGAATACTGGGCATGGCCTACCTTCATGAATTCTGTTAAGGCATGCCAGCTTTCTGGGATTCTCTGGGCCTACCTTTAAATCCCAGACCTCCCCCAACTCCAAAGCAGAATTTCTATTTCTGTAGGAAGGTTGCTTGCTGAAGTCAGATTCAACTCCTACTTCTTTACCCTCACGTTACTGACTTTTACTGCCTTGTGCCCATGTGCAGGTACCCAAGTGTGCAGGTGTATGTACAAATAAATATGGAAGCTAGGGGAAAACTCTGGGTGGCATTCATTCTTCTGGATGCTACCCACCTTGTTTGTGTTTTGAGGCAAGATCTCTCACCTTTACTTGGCACTGACCAATATAGCTAGACTGGCTAACCAGTTAGCCCCAGGGATCCATGTGCGTCCACCTCCACAGCTCTGAGATTTGCAGGCTCACATCATCATGCCCTGCGTTGTAGGTAGTTGCTAGTGATTGAATTCAGGTTCTCCTGCTTGTCATGCTTGTTATTCTTAGTAATTTAAGCATCACACTAAAATTACTTCAATACCAGGTATCTGTCTTTCTCACCGAGCTGTCCTATGTTGTTCAATGTCTTAGGCTAGTTCTCCACATGCAATACTGTGTTCTAAATGCTGAACCAGGATCACTTAGGTAGATAGGTGTTGTAACAGGCCTGGCAGAAATTAAGATATTCCAAAGAAGCACTTGTGTCTCTCAATCAAACTATCAAACTGTTGACAATAGATCCCAAAGAAATGAAAATTTTCCACAGTAACCTCATGCTGGGGAAAGGAAAAGGTACCACCAGCCAGAGTCCTGGAAAAAGAGTTCACAGTTCTAACTTTAAAAATGTGGTGTTACACTAAGACCACAATATCTTTTTTTAAAAAAATATTCTACTTATTACTTTTCTTTTATGTGTGTGCGTGTATTGCCTGTATATGTCTAAGTGCACCCGTGTCCTGCAATATCTGTGGAGGTCAGAAGAGGGTGTCGGATCCCCTGGAAATGGAGTTATGGACAAGTGTTATCTGCCATGTGCGTGCTGGGAATTGAACCCAGGTCCTCTGCAGGAGCAGTCTTAACCTCTGATCCATCTCTTCAGCCCCAAGGCCACAATATCTTAAGTAGTCTTTGCTCTCTCTTTTACAGATACAAACCGGCACCCTACAGAGACATTTTCTGGGTGCCCCTAGCTAAAAGACTTCCCAGTGCCGGAGTCTTTCACCTGGGAAGTGAATTTAAATCAAATCCATAAAGTCCAGCTCTCTACCCTCTTCCCTGTCTGCCTGGAAATCAGAGAGCCTGGCTGCAGGCTTTTGCTGTGAAACTACCCCCATCCTCAAAAAGCTATAGGGAAAGGTACCTTCCTCTGCCACAACGTGTCTGATTTTCTGTCTCTAGAGACCCCACCATGCTGTTTGTCTCTGGTAATGGTGCCTGAATTCTCTTGCCTCCTGCCATGCTCTTGCCTCTTTGCCTGTCCATGACATTAATAACTCCTCTAATAAACTCCTTATCCACCAACCATGGGTCTTAAATGTCTTATTTAGTAAAAGGATAAAACAAATCTTGTTCAAAAAGTTTTTGTAAATATTGTTAAGAGCAGATCAATATTTTTTTAGGAAGAAACTTGTTATAACTAGAGCTAACATCATTTATATCTAAGAACAAATGAAGTTTGACCTCCAGACAATGATGGGTGGGTTAACGGACCACACCTTGAACAGGCTAGATATGCTTAGATGTGTATATTTATAGCTTTCCACTTAAACATTAGCATCACTTCAGGATCCCAAAGATGAACTTGAGGCACCACTTTGTCCCTCTTCCCTGTGTAGCCACGTTGAATAAATCTTTTTTTCTGCTTTTTACTGTGAATTTGGTATGTCTTCCAGAATAGATGGCTGAACTTGGCGTCTTAGGGTACACATTGTAACCCAAAGTTTGGTAACAATATCAGTGCAGAAAAAGGTATTAAAATGTTTGCAGGAAGCTTCTGGCATCGTTATACTTCCACAGCAGGAGAAGCTGTGTGCCTGGCAGTAGATTTCCATGCTTGTTAGCAATGCCTGTAGCAGTTGCTGGTGTGAATGGGGAAATGTGTAAAGTGTTTGTAGAGTTTTTGGAGGACCAGCAGCATACAAGTGCCAACAATTGTTGTGGTAAAGGAACTCAAATCTAAATCAGTCTATGTATTTGGATCACTGTGCTCAGTTTATTTAGAACATGGCATTTGGAGAGAGTTAAAATGCCAGCACACAGTGTCTTTACATCTTCTTATTTTCTGAAGTAAATTGGTTGGGTCTTTTTGCACAAAGGTTTACTGTGGGAAGGATGCTGCTAAAGAAGCACTTTGCCACCAGAGTCTATTGTGATTGACCTTCTTTGTGCTGTTGAGTAGAAATAATCATCTGTATTGATTTGTAAGGGATGGAATTGTATAGCGACATTGATTGAAAACAAGAGAGCAGCCATCAGCAGTTTGATTTATGTGGTGTTAAGGCAAGAAATTCATATTCAGTGTCCAAATCTAAGGTTATTTGCCCAGTGTTTAGATACCGGAATATAATCAGCAACCCATTTTGGATTAGAAGGCCGTATTTGTGTGGATGTGTGGAAGACTATAGAAGCATTTACCTTTGTGTTAGTTGTTCTTGGCTAGGAGAAGACTGATTTAGAAGGAGAGAAATAATATTATCAGACACTCATTCTATGGGGTAAGTTTGTAATGCGCTGAGTCTGTAAATAGTTGAAAGCTAATTTTCAGCCATGAGTACCAAATTTACAAGATACCTGTCTTCTTTAAGAGAAGGAAAACTATTGCCCCAAGGAGTGTGATGTCCTCAGGGTTCAGTTATGAATGAAGTGAAGTGGCCCCGAGTTTGGTGAACTTAAGGAATTTACTTTGATTCACAGTTAGTCCTTTGAGTCCTACTCTATGTAATATACCTCCCATTAGTCCTCCCAACAGCATTCATAACACTGGCTTAACATTTGTCACTCTAAGACATAATCGCTTTCTGACTTGGCTATCTCAAGTTTCAAACCTTAAAATGATGAGGTTAAGATTCAAGTCTTTGTCTTCAGAGAGTAGATGTGCTAAGGACAGAGTGAATATACTATCTCCAAGGCAACTGGGTCATGAAAGATTTCAGATACAGGTTCAAGGGGATACTGAGATGGAATGTGTGAGGGTTAGTAGTTTGTTAGAAGAGTTATTAGCACCATCAGACAGACAACAGCAGCATGAAGGGTGTATACTGAGGAGAGTTCAAGTTCCAGCACCAGAGACATCATGGCAAGGTCTTTGAAGAGAGGAATCAGGGCCCATAATGTGAGCATGTGGCTATTTTTCTGCAGCTTGCTGAGGATGGTTGCTTTCACAGTAGGAAACTGCAGCCAGGCAGGAGGCAGGGAAGGGGAATGGGACACAGGATATGTGGTCACTGATGTCCTTTTTGACGTAAACTCACTTCTGCAATGTTATGGTTAGTCTTGGATGTCAGTTTAGCACACTTGAGAAGAGAGAACTGAAGAATTACTTCCATCACATTGGCCATGGGGATGTGTGGGCAGCACTGTTTGATGGTTAGTTGGTGTGGGGTGGCCCAACACACTGTGGTTAGTACCCTCCCTAGGCCAGTGGGCCTGGGTTGTATGAAGAAAGACAGTTAAACATAATCTGGGAAGCAAGTCAATAAGCAGTACCCTACGCTTTCTCTTTAAAGGTCTTATCTTGAATTTGTCTTGACTTCCCCTTGATGAAGGACCCTAGCATGTAAGATGAAATATACCCCTTCCTCAAGTTGCATTTGGTTATGGTGTTTATTTATAGCAGCCTAGAACACTAGGTGAGAAATCCAGGTACCTGGAAGCATGTGACCTCAAGATTCAGAATGTGCCATCAGTAATGTAACTGTTAGTATCCATGAGAAGGGAAGGACTACTGTAGATATTATGGCCTGAGGAGGAGTCTGGTCTGGATTCTAATAGTACATTCTTCCAAGACCCATCTTTGTGTCCTAATATAAACAGGCATGCTGGGAGTTTTCCAAAAAGTCTCAGATTTCAGCATTCTACCTCACACAGTCCTGGTTCTGGATTTTGTCATCTCTGGCTGTCCAGGTTGTACAAAACAGACAATCCTCAAGTATGCTCGAGGATTTGATAATGTACTCCTTTTGAATGCCACAGTCAGTGTATTTCCTCAAATGCTTGTTCTGATAGATGTCATGTGTTCTAACAGGGAGCATGACTTCGGCAACTTCACCTATTATTTTAAAATGGGACCCCAAAAGTTTGGAAATCAGAACACTAACAGTGGAAAGACTGTTGGAGCCGCTCGTTACACAGGTAAGTGGCACCTTAAAAAACTTGTTGCATGTGTGCAAATTCATGGTAATTACCATGATCCTCCAGAGAATTTATAAATCCTTTAAAGGATTTATATGTCATGCCATCATGCTGATTACTAAGTATATATTATTTCTTCAAATGTGGACTATCTCATTGCCCTATATGATTTGAAGTGGCTTTTAGGAACTATTCATATGATTTTAAAAATTAACTTGATGAGATAATTAAAAAGAGGGGCCTTGGTGAAGGGAGTTCTCATTTACAGCAATAGATTCAAAATCTAAATAAACCATCCCTCACTTTCAGAAGCAAATACACAGTTAGGAAAAACTGTTGACAGCTCAAGCACAGTATGTATTTATTGAATTACTTTCATCTCAGTTTACTGGTAAAATTCATCCTGCTGGAATAATATTCCATTTCATACTGTCACAGTTCTGCAAGATGACTGTCAAAAGCACAACATGTCATCAGGATTTTAAGCTTTGATAGTTAATTTTCAGTGTCTCATGAATCATGTTCTTTGTGATCTGAACCCCAAAGTTCCTGGAATATGAAAAATGTGAACTTTTTATGGTATATTTGAGAGACTCCTTATGCCACATGAAGCTAGAGACTTTTTATTGGTTTGCTCTGGGTGCTGTAACACATTGTCATCAACTAAATAGCTTGAAGCAACATAAATTTATTGTTTGATGGTTTTAGAGGTCAGAAATTCTAAAGTCAAGGTACTGCCAGGGTTGTATTCTTGGGAGGCTTGAGCAGAAAACCATGTCCTTGCTTTTTCTAGCTTCTAGAAGACACTCATTTTCTGTGCCTTTCTCTATATTTGAAGCCATCACTATGCTGCTGTAAATTTCTCCCTCTTAACCCACTTCGTTTCTCACATACTCTCTTGAATTGAACACTTGTCTACCTCTTATGCAGTTTTGCTGACCCTAACCACATATGCCAGGAAAATCACTCCCTCTGCTGATTCTTAACCTAATCATATCTGAAAAGTCCCTTTTGGCATTTAAGGTAAGGCACAGGTTCCATGGATAGAAAGTAGATTTTTGGGGTGGCTTATCATCAGCCTGCCACAGTATGCCTCTGGACCCCAATCATCCTGATCCTTCCCTTGTGAAAAACATATTAATCTTGATTAGAGGTCCCTAAAAGTCTCAACACGTTATAGCATCAATTTAAGTTCAAAATTCATCAGTTTAAAATGCTCAAATCTCAGGTAAAGTTATTTAGGGACGTGTCAAAGTTCATGTTCTCCTGTTTGCCCATGAAAGCACCAAGCAGGGTATATGCTTTTGAAAAGAAATACTAAGACAGACAAAAAAAAAAAAATCACAAATATGGAAAATCCAATTCCAGAAACAAGGAAGTATGAGATGAAAATTTGCCAGTCTCAGGTGTAGAGGTTCCCTTGGGCAGGCTCCACTAGATTTGAAGGCTTGTGAGCTGCTCTCTGGGGTTTGAGAATCTGTCCTTTGAATTATGTCTTACTTATTGAGCATTGAGCCTATCACAGTGACTGTATTTCCTGTATATGGATTTCAGGTGTGTGTTCATCACCTTCAATGCCACAATTCCTCTATTCAACCATTTAGCCTATCAACCATTTCAAGAACCTCATGAATTCCCATGTGTACCTGCGCTTTGTTCTGTTAGAGAAGCATCTCCTCCACAAGTCTTTAAAAATTTCCCATGTCCAATCACTGCCTGTGGAAATAGCTGAGAGAACTCCATACCACATACCTGGGCTCTTCACAGGATGTCCCTGACAAGAGACCATCCAGTCATACAATGGGCTATCTCTCATGCTAACTATAAAAATAAATAGCAGCATGGTTGTTGGTATGGGAAAGGTAATGATACATAATTACCCTTCAGAAATGAGCTTTCTTAGGAGAAATGGCCTTGAATGGGGGCAGCCTTACAAAGAAACCCTAGGACTGGAGAGATGGCTCCGTGATTAAGAAAGTCTACTGACCTTGCAGAGGAACTGACTTCAGTTCCAAGTACCCATGTCAGGTATCTCACAACTACCAGTAACTCCAGTTCCAGATAGCCAACCCCCTCTTTTGACCTCCAAAGGCACTGCACTTAAGTTCACAAACCCATACACTGTTAGACATGTATAAACATAATTAAACATAAAATAAAAAAGAAATAAACAGTAATATATTTAAAACAAATAAGAGGCCCTTAAAAAGAAATAGAAACTCCCTTTAAAAATCTGCAAATGATGGGCCTGGAGAGATGACTCGGAGCATTGGCTGAGTTAAGAGCATTGGCTGTTCTTGAAGAAAACCCAGGTTTGAATCCCAGCACTCACATGGTAGCTAACAACCATCCAACCATCCGTAACTCCAGTTCCAGGGATTGAACCACCCTCTTCTGTTCTCTGCAGGTACTGTATAACACAGGCATGCTTATACACATGCAGGCATAAAACTCATACGTATAAAATAAAAATAAAAAGTAAAAAAAAATTGTGGTAAATGCGTGTATTATTTTTATTTTGCTATTTTATTATTTCTTTTTATTTATGTTATTTGTGTTTGTGTGTGTATCTACACACATGCATACATGTGGGTGCCTGTGGAAGCCAGAGAAGAGTGTTAAATACCCTGTGCCTCAGTTACATAGGCAGTTGTGAGCTCCCTGTTAGGGGTGCTGGGAAGCGAACTTGGGTTCTGTGCAAGAAAAACAAGCACTTTTTTTTTTTTTTTTTGGTCTTTTTGCAACAGCGTCTCCCTGTAGCCCCAGCTGGCTTGGAACTCAGTATGTATACCAGGCTGGCCTTGAACTCACAGAGATCTGCCTTCTTCATTATTTTTTAAATGATAAAAAAAAAATGATAAAAGTGTAAACTAAGAACTCCCTTTAAAAATTAGAGGAAAAATAATATTGAAAGATGCTAAGAAAACAATTCAGTGGCAACGAAAACAAAAAATACTAGAATAAAATACTAAAAGTAAAATAGGCATAAATGAATTCAAAATTTGATTCTTTTTTAAAATTTATTTTTATTTAATGTATAAGAGTGTCTTGCTTGCATGTAGGTAGGTGCACCCATGTCATGCACTGCCTGCGGAGGTCAGAAGAGGGCCTTGGATTCCCCGGAACTGGAGTTATGGACCGTTTTAGCTGCTGTGTGGGTGCTGGGAATCGAACCTGGGTCATCTGCCAGAGCAGTCAGTGCTCTTAACCACTAAGCCATCTCTCAAGCCCCCAAATTTGATTCTTTTCTAGTGTGGCCAAGAAATCTCCCTACGAGACAAATTACATATAGTTGGCTGGGAAGAGTAGCTGGATACTCTGGTGAGGGTCCAATAACCCTGCTTGCCCCACCGTTAATGAAGGAGCACAACCATCAACAAGCCCAATTGGGATGATATTTAGCAATCAGGCACTGCTGAAGTCATCATGATGGCAGTTATTTCATTCAGAAGAGACTGCTGTACAGTATCATCTTATTAAAAGGACATGGAATTTAAAAGGATTTGGTGCTAGGGAGAACATAAGTCTTTTATTTTTCTGAGTCTGTGTTACTTCACTTAGTATAACAGTTTCTAGATCCATCCAGTTACCTGCAAATTTCATTATTTCATCTTTCTTTACTGCTGAATAGAATTCCATTGTGTAAATATACCACATTTTTATTAGATAGACCCATGAAGGAGTACCACAATTGCCTCACCCTGGGTCCCTGTTCATCATGGAAGAAGCCAGAGTGGTCTTTGTCCAGATTCCCTATCTGCAAGTTGGGTAACCTCTTCAGAGGATGGTGTGATAAGAATAGGAGGTAGGAATAGGCTAAGCAGTTAGTGGAAAAAGACCCCAAAGAAAAGTAGTTTCTTGGATAAAAGTTAAAATGATGTCCTTGGGCTTCTTAGCAACATACTCCATTCCAAAGGCCAAAAATGTCAAAAGTATTTGGGAGCTCTTATCTAATCCTTAAAAGATTATAGGGTTACCTTTTCAGAGGGGGGGAATATTAGAGTGGCAGAAAGAAGGAAGAGTACATGAAGTTGTCAGAAAAAAAGTGATGGGGAGATACGGGAGGAGCTGGAGGGGAGGGAGTGGGCATGGATTTGATCAAAACATCTTATATGCCTGTATGAAATTCTCAATAAATTATTTAAAAAAATAATAAAATAAAATGTGAACAAATTTCCAAAAAAAAAAAAGAAGTAAAGAAGATTAAGAGTAAGAAAGAGAAAATAAAGGCAGAAGGAGAGAAATGAGAAGAAACCCAGTAGAGCACCACCTGTTACATCCCACTGATGAAACACGACACCTTAAAGGGGGGTATGTGTTCTTAAAAGACTTTACAGGCACCCATGAAAAGATAGAACACTGGAATAAGCCATATAAACATTGGAAATCTGTTTAAACTTCTGCTGCTACAAAAAAATTACCAGAACAGATAAATGTGTAAATGAATATTATTAGACATTTAAAAGGCTGATTATTCTGTTATTTAAACTTGTTGTGACATAAAAGAATATGAACAATTCCTTAATCATTTGTTGGCAAAGTAATAACTTAAATATTAAACATATAAGACCTTTTAGACTTTTCTTAAAATAAAAAAAATGATAACTCTGTGCCATTTCTAAATTTATTTAAAAAATATTACTCTCTTCCAGAAGTACTTCAAAATATCTACATACTTATAAAATTAGATTTGTGAGAGAATACATTATTATATATTCTGTATCTATGTTTATTCTATTATCCAGTAACAATTGAAATACCTCAATTTATCAATAGATTATGCTATTAGATATTTAAAAGATACTTGAAATAATTTTGTGATCAATTTTTGAAAAGAACTTTATCATGTAAGTTTTGAAATGGAACAGGTAAACCCTATTTGTGGTATGCTTCAATGTCATTAAAATTAGTTTGGGAATGGTACTGTATACAAGATTAATACAAGATTAATTTATAAAATGCATACTTTTATTACACTATGTATTTTATTGAATTTTGTG